AACCAGTCAAGAGTGAAATGTGTAGGGAAGCTCTGTGTCGTTTGACACTGGCTCGCTGATTCTGCGTCCTGCACGTTGCTGAACTGCTGCACCTGAATTTGCTTAGACCAGCTATCAGCATTCAGGGACCACAGCACAGGCAGTCTTACACCTACGCTATATTTAAGTGCTATCCTCCACAACTTTATACGGAGAGATTTTTGTCTTCAAAAAGGTCAAATCGAGGAGCTGAAGCTGGTCCTGCCACATATACTTTAACAGGTCTGATACAGGAGCTGGCCTGCTGGTGCTTTTGTCTCGTAAGGCCGACGCCGGCCTCTCCCTGATCTATCCCAGTTATGTGCTCCATCCCGTGGCTACGTGCGTCAGCCGGGACTGCAGGCTGGGACTTTGGTGCTTAATGATGAGCCTTATTTAGTTCACAGAAGTGAGAATACAAACAATCACAAAACATTTCCCTGGTTTATGGTGATCTGTCATCACACTGTTGGTGACAGCATTTGGAAAATGAGTCATTTATGTGTCGTACGTTGTGCTGGGCATGCTTGGGAAACGTGTGCACGCTTGGGAAACGTGTATGCACGCTTGAGGACGGGAGCTGACCTTGCGCTCTTTGTCTCCGTACTCCAGGCCCAGCGTGTCCATGGCGCGGACGATGGCGGCCAAAGATTGGATGGTGTTGCTGTAAACAACGGGCTTGTACTGCTTTACGTCATCGCCGGAGAAACCGTCCTCGTGGATGATCCTAGAAACAAAGAGACGCACGGGCATTAAAGAGCGTTAAATACTGCAAAGTTATGTGCATGCACAGGTTTGCTTCTCAACCTGATAAAAAAGTGGAGTAAAAGCACACGACAAAGGTGTTTTACACGTTCATGGGAGGAAAATGGAGATAAGCACAGGTGGAGCCTGGACCAGAGAGGAGGGAGGGGGCGGGCCCATAACTGACATTTAAGGCTGCTGTTTGAAATGCCACAATGTCTTTCACTGCACCTAACGCAAGGGCACAGCGACAGACGGTCGCAGGGACAGTTAGCGAGGTAGACGCCCGCTCGTATGGACAAATGAGACAAAGACCAAGAGAGAGACGGACAGCAGGCAGGACACCACGACACAGAAGCTGATTCAAACAGACAGATACAGGTTGAGGCAACAATGTGAGGCAATTCTGATAGACAACATCAGCATGCATAAATAAACCCGAA